ATACAAATTCTTTTCAAGTGCACATGGAACATTCTCTAGGACAGATCACATGCTCGGCCACAAAACAAGTCTGAAAAAATTTAAGAGGATAGAAATTATATCAAGCATCTTTTCTGACCACAATAGTATGAAACTAGAGATCTATCACAGGAAGAAAAATGGGCAAAACACTAACACATGGAGACTAAAAAACCAATGGGTCAATGAAGAAATCAAAGAGGAAATCAGAAAATACCTCAGGACAAATGAAAATAAAAGCACAACTTTCCAAAATCTATAGGACACACAGCAAAGAAGTTCTAAGAGGAAAGTTTATAGTGATACAGGCCCATCTCAAGAAACAAGAAAAATCTCAAATAAACAACCTAACCTACCATCTAAAGGAATTAGAAAAAGAAGAAGAAACAAAGCCCAAAGTCAGCAGAAGGAAAGAAATAATAAAGATTAGATCAGAAACAAATAAAATAGAGACCAGGAAAAAAAAAGAAAAAAGTTCAATGAAACCAAGAGCTGGTTTTTTGAAAAGATAAACAAAATTGATAAGCCCTTAGTCAAGCTCATTAAGAAAAACAGAGAGAACCCAAATAAACAAAGTAAGAAATAAAAGGGAAGAAATTACAACTGATACCACAGACACAAAAAAAATCAGAAGGGAAAACTACGAACAGTTATATGCCAATAAATTGGACAATCTAGAAGAAATGGATAAATTCCTAGAAACTACAATCTTCTGAAACTAGACCAAAAGAAATAGATAATCTGAACAGACAGATCACTAGTAATGAAACTGAATCAGTAACCAAAAAACTCCCAGCAAACCAAAGTCCAGGACTGGAGAGCTTCACAGGGGAATTAAACCAAATACACAAAGAGGAACTAATACCTATCCTTCTCAAACTACTCCAAAGTACTGCAGAGGAGGGAAGATTCCCAATTATGCGGCCACCATTACCCTGATACCAAAACTAGACAAAGACACTACAGAAAAAGAAAATTATAGGCCAATATATTTAATGAATGTAGATGTAAAAATCTTCAACAAAATATTAGCAAACCAAATTCAACAATATGTAAAAAGGATCATACACCATGGCCAAGTGGGATTTACTAAAATGATGAAAGGATGGTTCAATATCCACAAATCAATTAATGATACACCATATTAATAAAACAAAGGATAAAAATCACATGATTATCTCAATAGACTCAGAAAAAAACATCTGACAAAATTCAACATTCATGCATTCATGATAAAACGCTCATCAAAGTTGGTATAGAGGAAACATCTCAACATAATAAAGGCCAATTATGACAACCCCATAGCTAACATCATACTCAATGGTGAGAAGTTTCTTCTCTAAAATCAGGAACAAGACAAGGGTACCCACTCTCACCACTTCTATTTAATATGGTATTGAAAGTCCTAGTCACAGCAATTAGACAAGAAAAAGAAATAAAAGGCATCCAAATTGGAAGGTAAGAAGTAAAACTGTCACTATTTGCAGATGACATGATACTAAAGAAAGAAAATCCTAAAGTCTCCACCAAAAAGCTATTAGAACTAAGAAATGAAGTCAGTAAAGTTACAGGATCTAAAATTAATCTACAGAAATTTTTTGTCTTTCTAATACACCAATAATGAACTAGAGGAAAGAAAAAGCAAAAAAAATCCCATTTAAAATCACATCAGAAAGAATAAAATCATAGGAATAAATTTAACCAAGGAGGTGAGAGACCTATATTTTGAAAACTAAAAAATACTGATGAAGAAAACTGAAGATAATACAAAGAAATGGAAAAATATCCCATGTCCATGGATTGGAAGAATTAATATTGTTAAAATGTCAATACTACCCAAAGCAATGTACAGATTTAATGTAATCCCTATAAAAATACCCATGACATTTTTCACAGAACCAGAACATATAATCCTAAAATTTATATGGAACCACAAAGACCCTGAACAGCTGAAGCAATCTTGATAAAAAAGCATAATGCTGGAGATACCACACTCCTTGATTTCAGACTATACTACAAAGGTACAGTGATCAAAACAGTATGGTGCTGGCATTAAAACAGACACATAGATCAATGGAACAGAATAGAGAGCCCAGAAATAAACCCATGTATTTATAGTCAATTAATCTTTGACAAAAGAGGCAAAAATATACAATGGGGAAAGACAGTCCCTTCAATAAGTGGTACTGAGAAAACTGGACAGCTACATGTAAAAGAATGAAATTAGAACATTTTCTCATACTATATATGAAAATAAACTCAAAATGGATTAAAGACCTAAATGTAAAACTGGACACCACAAAACTCCTAGAAAATAGGCAGATCACCCTCTGACCTATGTCATAGCAATATTTTTTTGGATCTTTCTCCTCAGGCAAAGAAAACAAAGGCAAAAATAAACAAATGGGGCCTAATTAAACTTAAAAGCTTTTGCACAGCAAAAGAAACCATTAACAAAGTGGAAAGACCACCTACTGAATGGGAGAAAACATTTGCAAATATTTGCAAATGGTTTGTCTGTTGAGGGGTTAATATCCAAAATATATAAACAGCTCATACAACTCGATATTAAAAAAAACAAACAATTCAATTAAAAAATGGGCAGATGACCTGAATAAACACTTTTCCAAAGAAGATATACAGACGGTCAAGAGGTATATGCAAAAATGCTGAACATCACTAAGCATCAGGGAAATGCACATCAAAACCACAATGAGATATCACCTCACATCTGTCAGAATAGCTGTCATGGAAAAGACCACAAATTAAGAAATGTTGGCATGGATGTAGAGAAAAGGGAGCTCTAGTACACTGTTGGTGGGAATGTAAATTGGTGTACCCACTGTGAAAACAGTATGGAGGTTCCTCAAAAACTAAAAACTGAACTACCATATGATTCAGCAACTCCAATCCTGGATATATATCCAAATTAATCAAAAATAATATACATTATCACTTGCATGTAGAATCTAAAAAATAACACAAATGAATAAACATAAAACAACAAAAAAAGAGAAGCAGACTCACAGATATAGAGAACAAAGTAGTGGCTACCAGTGGGAAGAAGGATGAGGGGAGAGACAAGATAGGGATAAGGGATTAAGAAGTACAAACTACTATGTATAAAATAAATAAGATACAACGATACACTGTACAGCACAGGGAATACAACCAATACTTTGTAATAATTTTAAATGGAGCATAATCTATCAAAAATATTGAACCATGGTTGTACACATGAAACTAATATTGTAAATCAACTATACTTTAATAAAAAAAATTTTTTTAAGGGTAATCCTTTAGAAACATGACAAAGATGTGATGTCTTTCTCTGCTCAGAACCTTCCAATGGTTTTCCATCTCACTCAGAGTAAATGCAAAAGTGACTGCAGTGGTCTCCAAGACCTTACTTTTCTGTCCCAGATACCTCTAACCTAATCTCCTCCCACACTCTCCCTCCTTTCTTTGTTGTGCCACACTGGCCTTCTTGTCTTTGAATATGTCAGGCACACTTACATCTCAGGGCCTTTGCACTTGCTGCTCCTTCTGTCTAGAAGACTCTTCAGACACATATCTCACTCCCTTGCCTCCTTCAAATCTTTGCTAAAATGCCACCGTCTCAGTGAGGTTTTTCCTGATCACCCTACTTAAAACAGGAACCCCTGCTATACCTAGCCTTCCCTATCCTCCTTAATTTTTCTGTACAGTATTTACTTGTTCCTTGAATACAGGGACTTTGTATGTTTTATTCAATGCTATAACCCAGTACCGAAAATAGTGCCTAGCATATTTTGGACAATACTTGTTGAATGAATGAATGAACAAGACTGTGTACAAAAAAGCAGTAAGACAGACAGCCATCAGGAGACGGAAGTGGCATCTTGTGCAGGGCAGTGGGACCAAGGGGCAGCCAGGTGGACACTGCCTGGAGTGGCACACAGGTGCAAGGCTACCTGCACAGTTGAATTTATTTAAATTAAAAAAAAAAAAAGGCAAGACATTCCTATAAGGTGACAGAGAATCAGGGAAAATATGGAAGATTTATTTATTAAAAATGGAATTTTAATTATTTTACAGTTATAATGGAAGATCACATTGGGTACTATTTATCGTTAAATTGTGACTGACTTAAGATGCTGAAGTATAGTTTATACCTGAAAAAGGATGAAGTAAAAAAATATAGACCCATGACTTCTAGAAATACACCAAGGACAAACAGCCAGACTCTATTACTCTCTGCAGATTTATAGTGTTTAACCACAATTATGCCTCAGTACTATACTCACATCCTTTCATGTGCTCCTACTTCACGTCCTATCATATTCCCCAGAGAGACTGTGTCAAAACTTGTCATACTCTTGAAGACTCCAAACCCTCCCGTGCTCCCTCACTCTCAATAACCAACCTCTCCATTTCATTTACTGAGAAGGTCAATGCAATTCTATCTCAACTCCCTCATTTACATTCTCCATTTCAATTTATCTTATATCAGCACACATTCTTTCCAGTTTAAGAAAAAGAAGAGTCGCTCCTTTGTTTGTAATTCTTTAGAAAAGTTAGTATGATATAAGGTCTGGGTTTGCTATAATTGCTTCAATTTCCATTTCACTTTAAAGCTAAAAACGCAATTTAAAAAGTGCTTTGAAGAACTGCTATATACAAGTAAATTATGCAAATGTGTAAAGAATAAGCAGTAATACTCTGATTAACCTATTCAATTAACAGACAAATGTGCAATGTTAACTGCATAGTTTTATAATATCCTTAAAAAAAGTAATTACAGGATGGTCTTTCCAAAAACATTAAGTTCATTAGCTAGTTTTATTGTTGGAATTGAACTGTTAAGCAGCAGAAAGAAATCACCAGCAGAAACCTTAAACACATCTAACATATAAATTACTACTATATTTCTTTATTGTTCAGCATTAAACATATTACATCACTATTTTTACAAATAATTTTTAAGGTATTTTAATACCAGCCTGAGCCAGTTCCACATTGAAAGCTCTCAGTGCAAAAGCAGAGCTTCTGGATTCTGCAGGGAGTAGCAGGGAGCATAAATAGCCTTCATAATCTCGTTTCCTACAATAAATAAGCAAAAAAAGATAATTACTTTTCACTTTCCAAACTGCACACAAAAAAATACTGACCAAAATGAACCGAAAACAAGGCTTCAACTCAAAATAGCCCCCAAGTTTCCTATATTTTATATCTGTTTCTCTACAATGATAAAAAATTTATCTGCTTCCAATCCCAGACCAGTTAAAATGAATAATCAATCTCTATTAATTTATTTTGACTTATATAATATATATATATATATATATATATATATATATATATAATTTTAACTGTTTCAGAATCACTTTGGTTTTAGTAAGAATTCAAATGAGTTACAGATGTAGAAATCAAGAAAACAGTGCCAGCAAGTATTGGTATGAACTCATGGCTTTGAATGCATAGATAGATATATACACAAGACAAAGACAGAGAACAATATGGGGGGTGTGTGGGAGGGTGCGCCTGTGTGTATGCGCACACACTCACACTTACTTCTATTTCCCTACAGCATCTGCTGACAAAGCCTAGAAACAATGATATCCGCCCCCATACCCGCAGTATCAGTGAACACACCTTGATTTCTCCACTGAAAGAAACTAAGGCTCCTTGAAGGAATGACTGTCTCCAGGGCTGGTGGAAGGAAAATACCAAATAAGCCTGAAACACCTTCTTGAGCAGAAAGTAAACAAATGTTCAAAGAATGGAGTGACGTGTTAAAAGGACAAAGAAATTGGCTTGATGAAGTTCTACTGGCTAAGTCTGGGACAATTTGAGCATCAAAAAAATAATGACAGTAAAAGATTGTAACAGGACCCCATGAGCTCATACCAATATAAATGAATGAATAACTGCAAAGAGAAGGAAAAATTTGACAACCAGTACAATGCCAACTGATAAACCTAGAAGACATGATTGAATTTTTAAAATCACCACTTGATAACTATCAAAGTAAAAACTGATTCAAGCAAATATCACTAAATGTCTGAAAATGTTAAACAGGTGAAAGTTTGATAGAAAAAGAATATTTACATAGTATTAAAGTATCTTCTCACAAAATAAATATTATTTGCTAACATTCTTATTAATTTACAAGGGAGAAACCTGAAAGACACTTGAGAACCAAGTAACAAAAAGTTCACTCCACAGTAATAGGATAAATCAACACCATGTGCTTTCTGACATGATACTGAGAAAAGAACAGCATAACTTCTGTAATATTCCTGCAAAAATTGTGTAAATCATGAGTAAACATTAAATAAACCCAAACTGAAAGTCTACAAAGTAGCCTGTCCTGTTCTCTTAAAAAAAAAAAAAAAAGTCAAGTTTATGAAAGATAAGGACTGAGAAACTGTTCCAGATTGGAGAAGACTAAAGACACGTGACAACTAAATGTAGCACGTGATCCTGGATACATGGAAGACATAACAGACTAATTAGCAAAATGTCAATGGAGTCTGTGGATTAGATGGTAATACTGGATCAATTTTAACCAAAATAATAAGGGGGGTAATAGGGCATCTACATCTTATTCTCAAGTGGTTCAAAACGTTAACAGTGAGGGAATTTGGGTGAAGAGTACATTGGAGCTCTGTGTACTATTTCTGTAACTTTTATGTGAATTTGGAATTACTTTAAAATGAAAAGTTAAAAATATATAATCCTTAACTATATTCATTCTAGGATGACTTAAGTATAAAGTGCTTACCAGGGCTTCCCTGGTGGCACAGTGGTTAAGAATCTGCCTGCCAATGCAGGGGACACGGGTTCGAGCCCTGGTCCAGGAAGATCCCACATGCCACGGAGCAACTAAGCCCGTGCGCCACCACTACTGAGCCTGCGCTCTAGAGCCCATGAGCCACAGCTACTGAAGTCCATGTGCCACAACTACTGAAGCCCGCGTGCCTAGAGCCGGTGCTCCGCAACAAGAGAGGCCACTGCAATGAGATGCCCACGCACCACAACGAAGAGTAGCACCCGCTGACCACAACTAGAGAAAAGCCTGCGCACAGCAACGAAGACCCAGCGCAGCCATACATACATACATACATACATACATAAATAAATATGAAGTGCTTACCAGACTGCCTATTGACAAGACTACTTTCACTGTAATACACAGTATTTCCTATAAAACAGTACTCAGTATAAAATGGGTCCAACCTCATTCCACGGAGTTTAGGTTTGAAATTCAGACTACTCCCACTTTTCAATTGGTTCACACTTTGTCCTGCGGCTAACAGAGAACTTAAACCTTCACAATTCCCCCAACTTCCACATAAACAAAAGGGAGAGATCATGAATGGATAGCAGCAACCTTGTTATCACAAGACAGCTCTACTAAAAAATCTCACCATATGCGGTTTCAGCTACAATATGGAGAGTTCAGACAAAACTTTATAGCTTATACTTGTAAATATATATAGATGTAAACATTTCTAAATTTTATTTTATTATAAACAGTCTCTAAACTTCAAAAGTGTTTAAAACACGTGAAAGTTAATATGAGACAGTAAGAAAACACTGAATAGGAATCAAACTACAATCTTAATTTCCATCATTCAACTAGTTATTGACAGAAATGATACCAGTCATGTCTATTTCCTAACTTAAAAAATGAGGCTTGATAGTCTACCTGTTTCGTATCTCCTTAAAAATAATCAACATGTGAAGTACTTCAAGTTTCTTACATGAAAATGAAAAATGAAATGAAGACATAACAGAACTGTAACAGTCTCTGGGAAATAAGATATTCTACACAGCTAATGGTTTGCCCTGTTAACAATTTTTAAAATACTTTGGGAATTTTTCTAAACAATATTACCCTCTTCTTTACATTAAATAGGATATACTATTTAACCATTTCTTCATCAATCAGGATCACTGTTATCAACGTTGATTACTGGTATACAAAGATAACCTATAAATAGCTAACCAAGGTCCAGTTACCTAAGAACTGTTCCAGATAATGAGAAATGCTATGCTATGATGGCTTTATACAGCAGCAGGGTCAATAACCTTTCATTCATTCATTCATTCAAACATTTATTCAGTGCCTAGCACGTGCCAGGCACTGCGCTAGACACTGAAGATAGGTATAGACTTCAATCTAGCAGGGAGAGACAGACATATGAGAAGTAAGCATATCTAGTGCTAGGACTGCTATGCTAATTCCATGGACCTGTGCCACTGAAGCACAAAAGAAGAAGTGGTTCCTCAGTGAGGCTGGAGAACTGCACTTCCAGATATCACCACTGCCACCTCCTCATCTTATTATAACACTAATCCCAAGGCCTGAGGTGGTGCTCCTCAAACCAAACCCCAAGAAGCCTATGTAAATTAGGCTTGAGATTTTCCCAGGATCCTTGATTCCTAGAAGATCCTCGGCTGGCTAATCTGAAGTTATAGTCTAGTATCTTGTCTGATATTTGGAGGCCTTGCATAAGATACATGTCCAAAACAACCCTGCACACACAATTTCGAGGCCAAATCTTGCAAAGATTAATGGACAATTAGAAGCTAAAAGTTCTAATCTTCCTTTCAAGTTCATTTTGTTTTTAAACTATCTATTGAGCATTTGTTATGTAACAGCATTTTTATATACATCATGTAATTTAATCCTCACAACCATGTTATAAAGTAGAAGTAGAAATCTACATATGAGGAAATAGCTGACTCTTAAAGTAATTAACTTTCCCAAGTGACAGAGCTAGGATTAATAAACTCAGATAAGGTCTGCCTGCTGCCTGCTTTTCGATAAATCGCTAGAGTCAACAGTCTCCATTCCACTTAAATACCAATATGGACAGATTAAGTATCTGGCCATTTATAAATATATATTTGAGAAAAGCTGTTATGTGATATCCACAGACTATTTCTAAAAGAATATATAAGAAATTAGTAAGAGTGATTCAACCCTGGATAGGAAAGTTAGGATACTACTGGTGTCAAAGAAAAATTGCACTGAATGAGTGGATATGGATGGTATATGTTTTGGTAATTTAAATGTCTTATCATCAAAAAATGATAACTTAAAAATTATATAGATGAATATAATCTTTTTGGCTTTTACAATTCTTAATGACCTGATTTCCACTAATGCTACCTTGTTTCTCCTACAAGCAATCAACAAGTAAAAAAGGTGGGGTAGGAACACTATTTCAAAAAGTGATTAAAAACGAAACAAAATACTGAAATGCATGGGAATGTTGCCGTTGTTCTAAATGCTCTAATCCACATAACTGTAAGTGGTAGGTCTACAACTGTTCCCTCATACTTTGTAACGAAAATTAGATAATTTACTTGTAAACTACTTTGCACAGTGCCTGACACACAGGAAGAACTCAAAGTTAACTACTGCTTAATTAAAATTAGTTACTAGCCATGTTTCGAATTTTAAAAAGCTATTCATGCAAAGCGTGTAATTAGGTAAAGTTAAGGCTCGGGCAAGGTGACAGACGAAGGCATTTTGCCACAAATTTGTGACCAGTGTGAAAGCTCCTGTTGCCTCACTCCCCCATACACCCGAGCTCACACGCTGAGGGACACAGGGAAGGTGCAGGTCCGCCCCGAGGCCCGCCGCGCCCACCAGGGTCCCTTTCGGCCTGCTCCCCGACCTCCCGGCCGGGGGCAGTCCGGCTCCCTCACCGCAGCAGCTCCAAGCAGTAGCGGTCAGTGCCCGAGATGCCAGGTCCGGTGACCGCGGCCACGCTCCGCCCGGACCCTGCGGGCTCCGGAAGCCGCCATGCGTGCGCCCACAGGCCCCTGGGCTGCCGGCAGCGGCACAGGCCGGGGACGCCGGGCCGTAGCGGGCCCCACGCCGACAGCAGCGTGGAGGCCGCCATGACAGGGACGCCGCCGTGCCCTTCGACCTCACGCTGTTAGCGCGCGGACACGCCTCTCCTCGCCACGCCACGCCACGCCCCCGGCAGCTCTGTCTGCGCACCTCTTAGCGGCGGGAAGGAGACCGCTGGACTCCCGTCGGAGATGAGACAGGTGTCGCTGTGGTCCCCTGCATCTGCGCCGCCGCCGCCTCGCTCCTCGGCCTTATAGGTTCCAGGAAAGCCCCGCCTAAATTCGACGGATCTCGCCCGGGTTCTCCCCCTTCCTTCCAGGTCCTTCTGAAGATGTATTGATATTCATCGAGGGGCAGTAGGAAAGAGAATAATTTGACAGTTTACTAGCTTGATTTATAACTTTTAAACCCTTATTCACATGGTATATGAGCCTCCTTTGGCACTCTTACCATCAGGCCCCTCAAATATTATCGTTGGGTCTAGTTGCCACGACCTGACTTGGTCCAAGCCAGCAGCTGCCTACATCTGGATCCCAGTAACACCTCCTGCCTCCAGATTTGACCAGATTTTTCGCGCTGCAGCCACACTTGTTCTTTCTAAAGGGTGCCTCTGATCATGACCCCTCCCTGCTTGACCAGTTTTACTGCGTGTTGGATAAAGCTCCTCCACGATAGTAGACTCTTTTTACCTTTCAGCCTCAACCCTAGCTATCTGCATTTGTGACTCCATTTTAATGTTTCTCCTTAAACCCACGGGAGAGTACTCTGTTGTCTGGACCTAAGAACTCCAGCCAATTCACCCTGCTTTGGTTTTACTCCCTGACACTGGCTCTCTTCAGCCTATGCAGGACCTCAGTCCCTCCTGCATAATATTCTCTTTTCTCTCTGGGCTTCTGTCCTTAAGTTCTGACAGACACACACTAGTGTTTCTGATACCAAAGTTTAATAAACCTGCTCAATTAAAAAAAATCACATCTACATCTCTAGTTCTGGCCTCCTGCCTAGCTGGACTTTTCCATCTCCACATCTTGCCATTACTTCAAAGTATATGTCTAAAAACCAAATTAAACTAACTCCTCTTCTTAGTCTTTTTATCTGGACAGTGTACCCCTTCTCACAACCAGGGGAAACACTTTGGAGTCACCATTACCTCTTCCTGCTTCTATATCTAATGTTATCTAACTTGTCAGGTCCTGTGAATTTTTTTATCTTCATATACTCACATCCGTGGCAGCATAACTTGTGCAAAACTACCTGCATTCAGATCCTGGTTCTACCTCCTACTATCACTGTGACCTTGGGTGACAGACTTACCTTTTCTTGTGCTTTAGATCCCTCCCCTGTGAAATGGTAATAGTAATAGAACCTGCCTCATAAAGTTCTTGTGAGAATTAAATGAGTTAATATCTTCAAGGCATCTAGGGCAATGCCTGGCCCATAAATAGCACTCAAAACAAGTCATCTGTGTAGGGAAACCATGAAGAAAGGCTGTTTAAAGGGACCAAAAGGATTGTTGGGTGTCTTAAGGGAAAGTTAGACATTGTCCAGTTTATCTGATTTTATGGGGTTTTTGTGCCTTTCATTGTCTTTGAACTATTTTACAATTCTGTAAGTTGCAGAATATTGACAATAATGCAAATAATTCTTGTCCATAACTTATGCAAATTATATCCATAGGAGATTCAGTTGATTATTGTTCTATGGATATTATCTGTTTTTGCCAGTTTCATATCTATTAAGCAGATTTACTTAAGCATTCCTGACTGCCTATAGATGTCTAGTAGTTTGAATACTTTTTTTTTAATACTTCTTTGAATTGGTTGCAAAATCTTACTGGTTCCCCCACTAATTAATGAGTTAAATGAAATTTTTAACATGTGTGGACTTTATAGCTGTATGAGATCATGACTATACAGTTTTGTTAAAAATTATTTCTTAACAGTTATCATTGGCTATTATTAACTTCTCTTGTTTTATTTCCCGTACCCAATTTCACATCTTTCTGATGGACCTCTTTCATTTGTTTTCTTGTCTCCAGGACAGTCAATCTATATCAAAAAATATAGCCATTTCTAATAATTCACATAATCATAACTGCATACTAAAGATGTTATGAGCCTTTAGATATTTAAACTTGAAGGCAGAATTTCAATTAATGGCAATAGAGGAAAAGTTAAGAACCTTTAAAATTATTCTATGGATAACACACTGTCACCAATTAACATTTATCGAACATCTATTATTTGCCAATCTTGAAGTTAATTTTGTTTAGAATTATGAATACATGAAAATACTTCCTTAGTGTAATTTCTTGGTATTAAAATCAGTGTATTTGAAATATGCGTACACTTTTCTTCAATCAAGGTTATAATCAAGGCAGAAGCTCAGTGCCTAACCAAAAAATTAACATTAAGAAATGAATGCCCACAGAAGCACAATTTGTTAACTTGGCCTTTAGCTGTGGCAGTTGCTTACTCTGTCATCTTTGAGTTTATGACTCTCTTCATGGTGACTATAACTGATTCATCTGTGTAATGTGAATGAAATATAATAAAATTTATTTCCAAGCTTTAGCCCAATAAAGATTGTCCTATGGTTGTTGCTACGTTGTAAAGAGCTATGCATTATTGTTCCAGAATATTACTCCACCTCTTACTTTTTCCATGGCCTCTGTTAAGAAGTGAGTTTCATTCTTTATGTTAAGAGTCAAGCTGGCCTGTTGGCTTTTATATGACACCTTGAGTATCTAAAGGGTCTGAGAGGGTCTGCACCAGACCACAGCTGGTTAAATCTCCCCAGACAAGAATACTCCACACACCTCCTCCAACTTCTCCATGGCCCTCAGGGATCAACTAACTTCTCCTCGGTCCATTTTGTTTTGTTATATGTTTTTTATTATATATATGTTTTCTTTTGCTTAAATCTCATTAAAGGAAATTTGGAAAATATAGGCAAAAGTAGGAAAACATCATGCTAAAACCTATAATTCAAAGTTACTATTCACATTTTGTATTTTCTTCCAACCTTTTTTCTATGCAGAGGCTTTTTGCTTGTTTTTACATACTGCCTGTACAATGTTATTTGATTAGCCTAATATGCTCATACACATTTTCTTATGCTATTATTTCATTCGTTTTGAAACATTTATTAAGAATCTACTCTGTGCCTACACTGTACCAGTTGCTAGGATTCCAGAGTGAACAAATACCTACCATGTCCTCAAAGAACTTATTCTTTACTGGTAAAGACATTTAAACAAACAAAAATCATCACAAATCAATATATAATTACAAAATATGATAACTGCTGTTGTATTAATAAGGAAATAGGTTCAGCTGCTCAAATAAAGACACAAAATAACACTGCTGTAAACAAAGTAGACATTATTCTTCTTTGAAGTAGCAATTTGGGTGTAAGCAATTCGGGGTTGCATGGAGATTCCAGGGTCCCAGAGACATAGGCTCTTCCAGTCTGGCTGTTCTATCATCTGAAGAGGTGTAATTCTCACCTGCATGTCCAAGATGGCCCATTGCTAGTTCCACATGCCAGCCAGCGGCGAGAGTGAAAGGGGAAGGGGCAAGATGCCCTTCTCTTTCAGATACGAGTTCCTTAATCATTTTTGTGCCATGGCATATATGTGCTTCTTTAACTGTTAAATAATAAGATTTAGCAGTGAGTCTAATTTCAAGTTTCATAGTGGTGATGAACATAAACAATATTGAAAAACTATTTGTGATTTCATTTGGTGACAATACTTTTGTGCTTTGTTGCCTATATTCATAACTGAAGCCAATTCTAAATTTTAGTTAGCAGTTAGTAAAAACAGATGTCGTTTTTTTTTTTTTTTTTCCTATTCAAGGTCACAGACCCCTGTGAATTCCCCTCTTGAACACTTCTCTGAGTCTGCCATTAAGGAAACTGATTTAACCTACTAGAGGAGAAGAGGTCACGTGGAAGAAAACCAGGCAAGAGCCAAGACCAACTGCCAGACATATGAATGAAGCCCATTTGGACCTTTGTGCCCACCAGATCTCCCAGTCGAATTCCACCACATGACTGAGGCCAGGTGAACAAGCAGAAGGACAGCCCAGCCAACCCACAAAACCAGGAGAATTGATAAATCGCTGTTGTTATAAGTCATCCAGTTTTGGGGTGGTTTGTTATCCCGCAGTTGAGTCCTAATGCAATTTCCATGGTGCAAAATATTTTAAATATAAAAATAGGGGGCTTCCCTGGTGGCGCAGTGGTTGAGAGTCCGCCTGCCGATGCAGGGGACGCGGGTTCGTGCCCCGGTCCGGGAGGATTCCACATGCCGCGGAGCGGCTGGGCCCATGAGCCATGGCCGCTGAGCCTGCGCGTCCGGAGCCTGTGCTCCGCAACGGGAGAGGCCACAGCAGTGAGAGGCCCGCATACCGCAAAAAAATTAAAATAAAAATATACAAGTGGGCTTCCCTGGTGGCGCCACTGTGGTTAAGAATCCGTCTGCCAATGCGGGGGACACAGGTTTGAGCCCTGGTCTGAGAAGATCCCACATGCTGCGGAGCAACTGAGCCCGTGCGCCACAACTACTGAGCCTGCGCTCTAAAGCCGAGCCACAACTACTGAAGCCCTCATGCCTAGACCCCATACTCCGCAACAAGAGAAGACACGGCGATGTAAAGCCCGTGCACCACAAGGAAGAGTAGCCCCTGCTAGCCGCAACTAGAGAAAGCCTGCACACAGCAGCAAAGACCCAACACAGCCAAAAATAAAATAAATTTCCAAAAAAAAGAGAGAGACAAATTACTTCTCTCCTGGGGACCAACATCTGCATTCCTATAAAAAATATATATATACAAGTAAGGGCTTGAAGAGATATTTGTACACCCATAGTCAGAGCAGCATTTTTCAAAATTGCCAAGCGACCCACATGTTCACTGACTGATGAATGGATTAAAAACGTGGTATACACGTACGATGGAATGTTATTCAGCCTCAAAAAGGAAAGAAGGAAATTCTGACACATGCTACAACATGGATGAATCTTGAGGACATTATGTTAAGCAAAATAAGTCAGTCACAAAA